GAGTCACCTGTTGCAATAAACCCGTATTTTAAGTATGACTCCTGATATTGTCTGTTAAAAGAAGCTTTCTTTTTCTTGGAGGTCGTGGGCTCCTCTTCTGGCTCCTCAGTTGGCCTTTTCCCCTTTGAAAAGAAGCCCTTCAAAAACGTTTGTTTTTTACTCATTTTTGCTAGTTTGCCGGCTTATTTTTTTAGCAATGTATCACGTGAGGTCGTGACCGACACATGCGTCTTGACGTGTCAAGGGGCACAGGTGGATGATGCGTCGTTTTTCATAATAAAACATCTTCCAGACTCTAAAAATCAATGCAATGGAAATTATATAAATTATTTATTCTTTCTGTGCGGCCCGGTAACAAATGCCTCACGGACCGGTACCGGGCCACGGCCCGGTGGTTGGGGGCCACTGCTTTAAGTGATTAAAATGTGTGTTGGTTTATTTTGTATGTGCGTCGCTTCTCTGCAGGTTTATACTTGTTTAATGGCTGTTTTGATAAATTACCCTTAGTGACTTTTTGCTCACAGAGATTTCATTGCACGTACAGTGACGTGCTTCAGTGTTGTCACCTCAAGTAATACTGTATGTCTCACTTCATCCAATGTGAGCAATACATGTTTGCGCTGTAGAGCGATGGGTGCACTGGATTTATAAAACACAAAGTGAGAGCATCATAGTGAAATGGAGTGCTGCACAGTAATTGGTTTCATAATTGAACATAAAATTTGATTAATCGCCCAGCCCTAGATTCCGTTTTAAACAGTGAAATTACTTCCAGTGTTCATGGTCAATATATTGTCATTGACAGATGTTTTGATATCACGTCACGATAATCTGTGCTTGTTACCCATTCAGCATGTGCTAACTGGTATTAAACAAGTTATTGAGAATGACATTCAGAAATTCCTTTACCTCCATCAGAAAGTTATAGAATACATGTTTTCTTAGCACATCTTTGTACCAATACATTTTCTATAAATTACTGTAATGATGTGTTGTGGTTCAGCACCTGCAGGTGGATGATCTTTGTCTGTAGGTGCTCATTTTGTTTCTGCTCTCCTCTGAAGGTGGAGAACTTCATTTCCTTCAAATTGGAGGTGTGTGTGACGATATAGATGACGGAGACATGTTTATTGATGGCCCCCTTTCTAAAGGGGCTGAACTGCTGCTTGAGGGGGCCAAGCCCTCCTCCAACCCTTCTAGCCCTGGGATCACAGGTATACCTGACACAAGTCACACTCTGTACTTCTCCACATGTGGTTTGGCATGTATCTGATTGTACACCAGACAATTCCATCGTTCAGTTCTGTGGCCTCTCCCTGATACTATTGTGATGCTCCACACTTGTCCCCCAACCGATCGCTGTGTAGGAGTGGACCTCCTGGTGGACCAACCGCTGACGACGGAGAGCCTGATGACGCTCGTAGAGCTGACACGCTTCGAGACGTTGACCCCACGTTTCTCTGCCACAGTGCCACCATGCTGGGTGGAGGTGCAGCAAGAGCAGCAACAGCGGCGACACCCGCAGCACCTTCACCAGCAACACCATGGAGATGCAGCCCAGCACACTCGCACCTGGAAGCTTCAGAGCGATAGGTAGTTTTAACCCCTAAATATTTGGATGGTTGACAAGTGATGGAAAAACTTGCGAGGGCTCCACTGATAATGAGACATTGTTTTTAAACTGTGAGGCACACCTCCTTAGAGAGGGGTGGAGGGAGAGACAGAGGTAAAGATACAGCATAAGTGACATGGTCAAGTCCATGCTGGTATTCTGGAAACAACGGGATGTTAGGGGTTTGATAGAATTAGAGTATATAGAAATAGAAAAATACTGAGAATTAATTATGAGTTACAAATTCCATAATAACATTTTTAATGTTGCATTATCAATATTTTTTGACCGTGGCATGACTCAGAATATCTCATTGACATACTTACATTCCTGAAGGATATGTTGAATATGTTGGGATGCACAGTTGTCTTTTATTTTGTCTAGGTGGTGCTCACAGTGTCAGACTTAAAAACCTTTTTAATTGATCTTTGAAGTAGTTAGTGACTGTGTTCTCTCTGTAGCTCCAGCTGGGATGAGCATGTGTTTGAGCTGGTGCTGCCCAAAGCCTGCATGGTGGGCCATGTGGACTTCAAGTTTGTCCTAAATGCCAACATCGCCACCATTCCTCAGATCCAGGTCACTTTGCTGAAGAACAAAGCTCCCGGGCTGGGTAAAGCCAGTGGTGAGGATGCTGCTTTGACACTTTATTCACACACATAAATCTGGGATGGTAGATTTTTGTAGCTGTGATATTTTGAACAGGGAGAAGATCTCTTCTTTTGCCCACATGGTCCTTCCAGTATCTCCTAAAATGAACTGAGACCTTTTGAATGACCACATTAGTTTATTTATTTTGTACTTGCTAAATAGAACAGACATTAAACTGCATCTGAATGTTTCTTCCTTTGTATTTCACAGAGACAGCAGTGGACAGACAGATCTCCTTCCCTCTCTCCAAAGTCCTCCACGCCAATGGGGAGAGGAATGGCCAGCCTCTGTTACATGATTTCACAGAGGACATCCAGTTCATGGACATAGAGGAGACATCAGGTGAACAATTCAACCTCTTTAGTTTTAAATGAAATTTATTTTGGACTTAGAAGTCTTAACACAATTTTATTTTCTGAGGGAGTAACAATTATCAACATTTAATTTGTCAAATAGCATTCAACTTGTTTTAAATAGATGTATTGCAGTATTCAGTGCCACTAAAATGATTTTCCTTTATCATTATCAAAGCAAGATAATCAGATGTCTAAGGATGTTTGCACTAGTCTGAATCTATGGACCGGTTTCGAAACTTGGTTTTCCCCCTTGGTTCAGTTTCTTTTCACACACAGAAAAATCCAAGCAAACCAAATTACATCACTACAATCACGTGAAACCATAACTTCTGCTCATTGGTTAAAGGTGTCTGGGGTGAGGATGAGAAAGTAAACACAGGAAGAAGATTCGTCTTCTCTACCAGTGAGCAATCCTATGAAATAAATTTATAATACAATAATGCTTCATACTTTGCAAAGAAGCTGTGACGCCTACAGTCAACTGAGCAGAAAAAGGGAGTGACTCAGCAGAAAAAGGGAGTGACTCAGCATAATGTTATATAACAACATACTGAACTATTTGGCTCAAAGGTGCAGCACACTCCTTGTGCTTGGTCTGGATCGAGGTATGATCAAATTCACACCACGAACGAACCGCTCCAGAGTTTGTTTGGAACCGTACTGAGACCACTTCCAGGAAAGCAACCCCCATCTGCTTAACACTCCCTTACATTGCAGTAAAGGACGATGTGCAAGCACTTTTTAAAAGGTTTTGCCACAAACTCAATTGACTGGACCAGACAGTGACATCATCCAGCAAAGGAAGATGAACACGATGCAGAGCCCAGGCGAAGAAGACTCTTGTTTACCTTGTTAGCATGAGCACCTACAACGCTCCCCTGCAACCCCTCACCCCTCAACCAACGCAGCCCCTTGCCTTAAAACACAGGGAGTTGATGTGAACGTACATCATTTTCCCGTCACAGTCCGCTCTGGTTCTGTTATGTACTGATATCACAAGACAGCTTTTGCTTCGATGAGAAATACAGTACATCACATTTAATATAACGAGATCTCATGACACAATCTCACCACACCCCTACTACTGACTTGTCATTGAAATAGCACCTTGTCTTTAGTATTGGCGACTTATGTTTCATGCTCCATCTTGTAGTGCAGAAAGTTTTGAAACTGTTAAATATCTCTATTATCTGCCCTGAGTAAAACTGTAGTTCATGTTTGTTGTAGGCTCCATCCTGTGTCCATTCTTAGAGGACCACAAGGAGGACATCCTGTGTGGCCCGGTGTGGCTGGCCAGTGGGCTGGACCTCTCTGGCCATGCAGGCATGCTCAGCCTCACGAGCCCCAAACTGGTCAAAGGTAGCAATAGTCATTTCTGATGTGTGCCACTGCTATCTGATCCTGAACTTTGCCTCAGTGTTTCTCAGCTGTCCTGTTCCTCCCTCCACTGTAGGCATGGCAGGAGGGAAGTACCGCTCCTTCCTGGTTCACATAAAAGCAGTGAGTGACAAGGGCATGGAAGAGAGCCCGCGGCCAGTGGTGAGAATGCCCAGTGCCAAGCCTCAGGGCACCAAAGCCCACTCACTGTCCACCCTGCTACAACGGGCTCAGGCCTCCAAGGTACAAATGCACAGTCACTCAGTGACTGAGTCTACCCAACAACAGATACACAACTGCATCCACTGGTTTATTTTTCATCTGTGTGTGTAGGAGAAGGTCTTTGCAGCAAAAACAGAGACACCAGCACCCTCGAAGAAGGTAGAAAACCTGCGAGGCTGTGATCTACTGCAAGAAGTTTCAGTCACAATCAGAAGGTTCAAAAAGACGTCGATACCCAAAGAAAGGTGAGACATCTGTTTCTGTTGACAGACCTTGAACATTTAAGAGTAAAAACACATATGCGGCACTAAAACAGATCTAACAAAGTGTTTAGTGGTGTGTTACTAATAACTTACTATCAGTCAGATAATTATGTTTTCTTAGATAATTTTTGTCTCTACATATCATAGCAGTCAACTTTAAACTTGTCTGTCTTTGTTATTCTGTGCTTTCAGGGTTCAGCGCTGTGCCATGCTGCAGTTCCCCGACTTCCACGAGAAGCTACTGGACGCACTATGTAGGCAGACAGAGAGTAGCCTGTTCACTGAGCATGCCCAAAGCCTTATCCTGGATGTCTTGTGTTGGCTGGCTGGGGTTTTCTCCAATGGACCATGCAGGTAGGACTAAAAGCTGCAGCACTCAGAATCATGTAGGACATTTAGGTCACATGTTGCTTCCACTTACTTTTTACCAAGACAAGTGTTGTACCTTGTGGCTTCTTTTTAGTTTAAAAGAAGGAAAGGAAGGACTGCTGGTGAAAACCCGGGCACGGCTGTCGGATATTGTGCGGGTGTGTTTCTTCGAAGCTGGCCGGAGTGTAGCGCACAAATGTGCTCGCTTTCTTGCACTTTGTATTAGGTAAGTAACAGTAACTTACTCTCCAGTACTGTGTACACAACCTATTGTTAACACGGACAAGTAAAGAGGAAACAAAATCTGCCTGTTTACTGCTTAGAATCAGAGTATTGCTCCTGTAGTGGAAAAAGCCTTTTTGATGATGTAGTTTTATGCTCGCCTGTGAGTGCAGATGACAAAGAGCATGCTGCTATGCTTCTTTCCATAGCAATGGAAAAGCAGATCCAAGTCAACAGGGTTTTGGTGTGAGTCTTCTACAGTCTCTTCTAGACAATATGCCTTACTTGCCTGCAGCAGCAACAGGTGGTAAGTAACTGAGCAAGAGTACAGAACAACATATGGTATTGTTCTCTTGTTTCTCTTTCAGGACTCCACAGTTTTGATTATCTGACCTCTTGCACTCCTGTCTACTTTCAGGCTCAGTGTTCTGGTACTTTGTGTTGCTGAACTATGTGAAGGAGGAGGACCTGGCGGGCTGCAGTACTGCCTGTGCCTCGCTGCTCACTGCCATCTCAAGACAGTTGCAGGACCGCCTCACTCCATTGGAGGCGCTGCTGCAGACCAGGTACTTTTCCAGCTGTTTGTTTTTACAGTCAAATGCCTTTTTATTACTGAAATTATTCTTAGTAGATGGAAGTAGTTCAAATTGCTGGTGAAGTAAAGCCCATTTATTATTACCATTTAGTGTTATACCTAAACCTAAGCCTGGCCTCTTCCCCTATTGGCTGTCGTCTTCCAGGTATGGCCTGTACAGCTCTCCATTTGACCCAGTACTTTTTGACCTGGAGGTCAGTGGCTCCTCCTGTAAGAATGCTTTCAACAGCAGCATCGGAGTTCAGTCAGATGAGATTGACCTCTCTGACATTCTTTCAGGTATGAACTATTCAACCATTGACAGTTGTTACAGTTGTAGTATTCTGTCAACTGTTGGAACATACTCACCGTGGAATAAAGATTTACATACAAGATGCGTCAGAAAAGTTCCAGGACTGAGTGTGATGTGTGAGCTATGAGTGGAGGAGGGATTAGCGGGTTGCGTCACCGTGTGACGTAATATCCGGGGTGTGTATAACTGCAATCTCAGCTCTCTGCAGCCAGTGTATGCTTTTTCAGATGCTCTTGTTAACAGCTCCTCAAGTTTACATCATCAAGTGCTGAGCAAAGAGCAACGAATCAAACTAAAGTTTCTGGTCCAGCTGGGGAAAACTCGGAGATCCTGCGGCCTTTGCTTTGTTTAGTGTGCACGAAGAGGTGAGATTTGTGGCTGCTTCATCAGAACAACATGCTGGCTCACAATGCCCTGTGTATCCAACAGTTCCTGGTCAAGAAAAACATCTCTGTGCTGAAGCAACCTCCCTACTCACCCGACCTGGCTTTGTGTGATTTTTATTTATTTATTTATTTCCTTTTCCTCAAGTTGAAGGGGTCATCAAGGGGACCCGTTTTCCGGATGTGGAAGCCATGAAGAGGGCCGTGACGATGGAGCTGCAGAGACCAGGATGGAAATGTGCATTAGATTTGAGGGGGATTATTTCAAAGGGGAAAGCTTTCAGTTTGTATACATTTTTTTATAATTGATTTTTGTGACTCCAGTCCTGGAACTTTTCTGACGCCCCTTGTATGCTTACTTGAACTTGTTTTATGTTGTGGACATTTAATGTTTGGGAACTATTCACACAAAGGTTCCACTTCCTACACTGTTCATGTAGTAGTTGGAAATCACAATAGGGGTTTTCCATTATAGAAACCTACTGAAACATGGCAAGCTGTGTAACGCTTGTCATGGGTTCTGTGTTTGTTTCCACTGCCCTCTATCTGCTTTAGAAACATACATTTCTGTACCCCTCAGGAGGTAGTACGAAAATCAAGTTCCAGCAACACAAAGGAGGGAGGGGGTGCGTGCATTCAGAACTATGGCCTGTGATTGGTTAAATGTCAGCATGTTCACACCTCCACCGTTAGCACTACAAGCACGGTTTGTAAACACTCACTGATTCAGAGCTAGAAGAAGGACTTCAGTGAGTGGACTGTGGGCAGAGTGGTGAAGACATCAGATTGTGTGTGTGTGTGTGTGTGTGTGTGTGTGTGTGTGTGTGTGTGTGTGTGTGTGTGAGAGAGAGAGAGAGAGAGAGAAGAGACCCTCCCTCCTCTAAACAGAGACCGACAGAGAAAAATACAGTGGAAAAGCAAAGTAGAATGGTCCGTGCCATCCCAGGAGGTTATGCTGGGTGATAGTTGAGGGAGGCACGCAGTGTACCACTCACTAGTTTCCGACAGTGGAAACACAACTAATGAGAATTGAAAGTGAACCACTGTGTTCCTCCCACCGCTCCCTCTCCCTGCCTTGTTACTCTCCACCCTACCTATACATTCTCATTGTGTTTGCTGTTTCAGCTAATGCAGGAATAAAGAGCTTGTTAGCCTGTGATTCACCCACAGCATCTCCTAGTAGCTAGTACCAGCTCGGAACCCTCTCTGAGTTGTTAGCAGGGCATCAGTGCCTCAAAAACCTTTTGACCTGTTAATGATATTGAATAACAGACGCCTCTGACAGCACCTCTGCATCTTAAGATATGGAGCATATGTTAACTGAAAAATAGAGGGGGGAAAGTTGCTTACTGGATCTTGAATTGAGACTCCTGAAGTTCTGATGTTTTCTTGCTTTACTTGTTTCCTATTTATGTTGGGTGTCCTGCAGGAAATGGAAAAGTGAGCAGCTGTGCAGCAGCAGAGGGCAGCTTCACAGCATTAACAGGACTGCTGGAGGTGGAACCTTTGCACTTTACTTGTATCTCCACTAGTGATGGCACCCGAGTGGAGCGAGATGATGCCAGCATGTTCACTGGTAATCACTGCTTAGGTTTCATTTGTTTCTCGTTTTTTGCTCAAGTCTGACTGTTTGAACTGGTCTTTGGCTGAACCTCTACTCTTAAACCCCAGTGAGCACATTTGGTGTGACCCCGGCAGTAGGAGGCCTGTCAACAGGAACGGTTGGTGAAGCTTCTACAGCTCTGAGTTCTGCAGCCCAGGTGGCACTCCAGTCATTGTCCCACGCCATGGTGTCAGCGGAGCAGCAGCTGCAGGTCTTGCAGGAGAAACAGCAGCAGCTGCTGAAGCTGCAGCAGCAGGTGAAAAACCCCGTCACTATTACATCGCAATTTTTGCACTACAGGAACTTAATGAAACTTAGTGTCACTGTCACAGGTTGTTGTTTTGTTTCCTCTGTTGTCTGCCCAGTGTCGGTTCAAGTTAACTTTTTGCCCACTTTAAAAAACAGTGTAAGAAAGCCCATATTCTTCCAAATATTATTCAGCTCCTACAAGTCTTTGCCACTGAAGCAGTCTTTTGACTTAATAGATTATTTCTGATTATATAGCAGTCGGTGCCCAGATTTGTTGAACTGGCTCTTAAGCTGTGGTAGTTGCCCTATTTGTTTTGGCCTTCATAACCACCACTAGCTGTGCCACCCAAAATTTGAATAGGGAATATTATGAAACTATTCTTGGATCAAATCTCCAGGTGTAGAATGTTTCTCTGGAAGTTATTCTTCTGCTACAACTGTCAGTCTAGTGTTTGAATCTGTAGTTTCTATGAAATCTTTGTCTGTGCTGACAACAGAAGGCCAAGCTGGAAGCCAAGCTGCATCAGACCACCTCTGCTGCAGTCGCTGCCTCTGGTGTGGGGCCCATCCACAATTCCGTGCCTTCCAACCCATCCTGCACGCCTAGCTTCTTTATTCATCCATCTGACGTCATCCCCCCGACACCTAAAACCACGCCCCTCTTCATGACCCCTCCTCTCACGCCACCCAACGAGGCGGTGTCGGCAGCCTTCAATGCTGAGCTGGCTCACTTGTTTCCTGGGTCCATGATAGATCCTGGGCCCGTCAACCTGGCTGCACACAAGAACGCACAGAAAGCCAAACCGGTTAGTAGCATGCAGCTTGAAACTTGGTCAGTTAATGACAGCTGCAGTCTCTTCTCTTACACGAGGGTGGGTATCAGTAATTCATTTTACCAAGAGTTGGCAGCACGTCTGGACACATTCATACTTGTCTTTATTTCAGATGGTTTCTGATCTATATTATAGTTTTGACAGTTCTTAGGTGACCACATGTAACTGTGAAGAACTTTGATGTCTTGAGTAAATAGGAATACTTTATTTTCACCTTAACATTGTAAACTTAAATATACCAATAGAAACTTTTTTCTATAAGAAAATTAGAATCTTCAATGTAATATTAATACAATCCTTTCCTTAATAACATACAACAGCCAATCACATAAACAGAACTGTTTCTGGCCAACCCTATTGCAGCCCTTAAACCTGTAGTACCAGATGTTTCTGTGAAGCTTTGACTTATCAGAGTTAATATGGTGAACTTGTTAGCAGATGGTTTCTTGTTCACATATCCAACAGTTACAGAGCAAAATTATCCTTTATTTGGATTTGTGATTCTGGCGACCTGGTTGGGTCTAACATAGACTTTGTTTAAGCTCTGCTTTTGGTCTCCACCACCTCCCGAAGGCAAATTTCTGCGTCTTTAGCTGCTAAATCCTTCACTATTTTCACCAGCTGGAATCAGTGTCTTTCTGCTGTTTGCTGCTGATCAGATGATGGTGTACAGTGAGTTTTTAGAGCTTGACCACTGAAAACATCTGCCTACTGCAGGTGAAAATGTTATGACATTGGTGAAAGTGAACCAAAGCCAAATTAACCACCTGGCTGTGAACCACTATACTGACCAGATGGTTCATTGAGTTGAAACTCCCTATAAAATTCTGTAAGTTCACCACTACAAACGGCCTCTTTCACATTGTTTTCATATTGTCATTTGATAAATTATTGTAAACTTTAGTCTAGCACCTTTTACTTCAAAGAGCAGGTACAGGAGGATAACATTCATTGTTAAAGATATTTATTACCTCCTCCTAGCATGTGGGTTAAGTATTTGCTGGCATTTGTTTGTCTGTGAACAGTGTAACTCGGTGTAATAAACAGATTTGGATGAAATGTTTTGGAGAGGTAGAGTATAAACCAGAGAACAACTAATTAGATTTTGTTGTTGATCCGTATCAAAATTTGGATAGTCATATTTTACAAGATTAGCCCGTCCCTGGTAGGCTAGTGGTTAAGGCGCAGCGCTCTTGCTGCTGCCGTCCGGGTTCGAATCAGGGTTGCGTCAGGAAGGGCATCCGGCATGAAACACGTGCCAAATGTCAACTTGGGAGTCATTAACCATAAGTACTGGCATATTGCCAGTCTAACTTACTATGTACTGCAAAGGCGCAAAGGTTGTTGACTGTATGTGAGCCCCCTTGTGGCTAAATTGCACAGCTGCACTCCTGTGCACTCCAAACACGCACACAGGTGTAGACAAAGCTCTGGGTTAATGACAGCTGCCCATTCACTGTCAATGGAAACCAAGTGGTGTCACTCAGTCCAGCCCGAGTGTGAGACCAACAGCGAGGTGACAGGCCGGAGCTGGGAAACATCTACTCTAAGCAGCGACAGCTGGGCAAGAGCTTAATGACAGAGATTTGAAGCCAGGCTCAGAGCTGGTACTGTTTTCATCCGTAGGACTGGTATTAGGCCACTTGATTAGGTTTTGATGTTTTTTCAGGTGACATAGTAAGTTAGACTGGCAATATGCCAGTTTAGAATTTCTTGTGATGTTTTTGGAGTTGTGAGCATAGACATATTTGTTATATGTATATACTGTATGTCTGTGGTTGTGAGTGCTTGTTATCTGAGCACACCAGCTCTATTAGCAGGGAGCTACATCTCGTCCAGACCACAGTAGTCTGTTGGAGAGGACACTGGTGTTCCGACTGCACATTATACCTACATTTCCATTGTCATAGCCTAACGAGCAGTACGCTGTGTGCTTCCCTTTCACCGTCACCTAACATAACCTCAGGAGTTGATGCGGGCTGTTTTGCTTTTCTTTACTGTATTTTTCTCTCTGTAAGTATCGAGAGGCTACGCTCCTCCAGTAACAGAGACTGTATGAATAGTTTATCAAACAGCTGTTTAACAAGCTGAACACAAATGTGCAGAAATGTGATGTCTTCACCGCTTTCCCCACGGTTCACTCACTGAAGTCCCCATTTTACCCCTAAACCAACAAATGCATGTCTATTTTTTTGACAAGGAACATTTGTGGGGTTTTCCCTAGAATACCGTAATTGGCACTATAGACTTCAAATAAAATTGAATTGAGTAACTTTCAAACAAATAATATCAGCATCATTCCAAATGCCAGCGGTATGTTTTCGTGGTCAAGCTATCCTATTATGAGGGTCATATCATGGGAATATGGCTTATGGGGGAAACTGATTTGCCCTTGGTGGAGGTTGCACTCTGAGTGCTGTCTAGTTAGAATGGCTACAAAACTAAGTACAGTCAGTATAGTAATTTTTCTACACATTATAGTTTTTGTGGTTGTTGTGGTCTGATGTGAACTAAATTAATTCAGGCAAATTACCCCAATGATTATTTATTATTACAATACTTCTAAGCAGTTCAATAAATTGTAAGATAATTCAACAATCTAAAAGATAGGGGACAGAATCACCACTTCTGCATAAGAAATACAGTAGTATTAGATAAGACAATTGTCAAACAATCAGTCATTGTTGGCCCTACAGTCACATCAGTCAGAGTCCAGAGTTGGCTCCGTTCCCCTCTCCATCCGGCCGGGTCCAAACGCACACTCATCACTGCAGCACCATCATCCTCCCTAACCCACAGCTATTCTAACTTTTATCTTCTTCTTCAGCACTTCTTCTCCTATTGCTTAAGGCAGAGTTACAGTTTTATGTCAGCTCTACACCCCTTCTTCCAGGAATTGTCTGAGATGTCAGTACATGAACTTAAAGGTCTTTAAGCTTAACATTTACATTAAGTCTAAATTGTTAAAATTTTTTGATTTAGTGGGATATAAGACTGCAGTGTTTATGTATAAAGCCAGGAACAATTTATTACCTGGTGGAATTCAAAAACTATTTAATGAAAGGGAAGGGGGATACAATTTAAGGGGTCAGTTAAATTATAAAATTCATGCTATACGTACAACCAAAAAAAGATTTTGTATTTCCATAAGTGGGGTAAAACTATGGAATAATTTAAGTGTAGACATAAAAAATAGTAATAGAATTGACGAGTTTAAACATAAATATAAAGGTATGTGTCAATCAAGATATATGCAAGAACAGGCTTAATGATTAATTAGATGGAACATTGTGGGTGTGGGGTATGAATGTTAACACTTTGTAATAATTCTTTAGTATATTACTTGTGTGGTGTAGAAGAGAATTATTTAAGAATGTAATTATCATTCAATCATGTACTAGGTATAAGCACATTGATAATGGATTATGTGTAAAATTATGTGTTGACATATCAACTGTCTTTACATGCTTGAAAGAATAAATCAAATCAAATCAAATCAAAACATTTAAGGGAGGCTGATCTCTAGATGTTTATTCACAAGATGACCCCATAAACTAAACAAAGAGGACACGAGCCAGGATGTTCTTGCTTGAGAAAGCTATCAGTACATGGTCTTTATGGAGAAACACCCTCAAACATTCCAGAGCAGAGAAACCGCTCTCTTCAAAATTATATAAACACTTAGCTCACCCTTACATGACTATCAGCTATTACCTACTGCAAATAGTATCTGTATGTAATCTACACACTCCTACTATATTCTATTACATATTGCATTTTAACTGGTATCTTGTTTGTTTTTAACCACTACAATTTCTTTTCACTAAAAACGGAAACGATTTCAAGTTTGTTTTTTAATGTTGAACTAACTGTCTTATTGTTGCAACAGAGTCCCATGGGCAGCGGTCTGGCTCTGGCCATTTCCCAGGCATCTCACTTCTTGCAGCCTCCTCCACACCAGTCCATCATCATAGAGCGGATGCACTCTGGTACATCATATAGAAGTATTTTATATTTACTATCTAACTGCTGCTGCAAATGTCTACTAACCCAGACTTCTACATATCAAATTAATGTTTGGGGCAGTTTAGGGAGGAAAAAAAGTGGTTTCATTCATGGAATACTTTCAAATAATGTTCTTGTTTTTTACAAGTAAGTCTTGAAAACTGAGCTGAACATGCTGTTTCTGCTGTGCTTTGGCCCCAGGAGCTCGTCGCTTTGTCACACTGGACTTTGGTCGTCCTGTCCTGCTGACTGACGCTCTGATCCCAACCTGTGGCGACCTGGCCTCTCTGTCTATAGACATCTGGACACTGGGCGAGGAGGTGGATGGCCGCAGGCTGGTGGTGGCCACTGACATCAGCACCCACTCCCTCATTCTGCATGACCTGCTGCCACCACCTGTCTGCAGGTTCATGAAGGTCTGTATGCCATATGGTCAGTCTGATGTAGAGAGGTTTTTGTGCTTTTGTTGGTTTACCACAATGTTTTTTCCTTTCATCAGATCACTGTGATTGGACGCTATGGCAGCACCAATGCTCGGGCAAAGATTCCACTAGGCTTCTACTATGGCCACACATATATCCTCCCATGGGAGAGTGAGCTGAAGTTGATGCATGATCCTCTGCGCGGAGAGAGTGAGGCAGCCAGCCAACCAGATGTGGATCAGCACTTGACCATGATGGTAGCGCTGCAGGAGGATATCCAGTGCAGGTAAGGCAGGAAGTAAATCAACTGTAGGATTATCACATTCCAAGGAAATTCCCACTTTATAGAGTTGACTGATATTGGCTTTAATAAACCCCAAATCTAGTCCTCATATTAGTAATTTTCTCAAGCATCACAGTAAGTATCATCATGGGAGGCATCTTGGTGAGATTTTATTTTATGTTCTGGACTGCTTTCATTGTTTTGCCTGCTGCACTCTGTAGCACCATGAGCATTCTGTCAGAACTATATATACATTGTGCTTTACTGTCATGCGCAGCACTTAAATGTATATACCTACATTTATATGCTTACGTTTGTATATTTAAGTTAAAGGCATTATTTTATGTGTTTTGTATTGTCACGTAATCCCAGCCAAAGACCAAAACCGGCGGTCTTTGATTACTTTTTCTCTGCTGAAGACATCTTTAGCACTGACATGTACATCCTAAAACAGCTGACCACTGCATTTGTTTTTTTAAGCAAACAGTGATTTCCTTGTGGGGACCAGAAACTAGTTCCCACAAGGAAATCACTGAATTTTTGGGTGGCAACATGGTTTAGGTGTTAGGTTAAGTGTTGGGGTCAGATGTTAGGTTTTAGGCAAGTAGTGGTTATGGTTAAGGTTAGGATAAGTCTACAGGGAATGAATGTAAGTCAATGTAAAGTCCCCACAAGGAAAGAAAACACAGCATGCATGTGTGTGTGTTCATGAAGGAACAGCAGTGTGGCTTACTAATGTGGTTTTGGACAAGAATGGAGCTCTGTGGCACAGAGGAAAAAGATGCATCAGGCTTGGGTGCACACACACTACTTGTTAGCAGTATCAGGCTCTCTGCCTCTCAGGTGAACAAATAGATACTGAATACTGCTTTTAACGATGAGCAATACATGACTTGCTTAGTCAAGTACTTGTACTTGGTGTCGCTGAAGCAGATTTAAAACTAACATGGCACAAAATCAGAATTTCATAACTTGCTTTGTGCTTATGAATCTGGATTTGAGGCAGGGCTCTACGCTAACAGTTATTTTTAGAGGTCCTTGTGCTAATAACATTTTTAAAGAAAAAAAAAAAACAATGCATCTTTTTTATAAACATAAAATATTGTGTGCATAGTGTACTGGGGCAAAGTGACTTAAAAAAGAACATTTTAAAACCTAGTATGTTGCCTAGTATGCTGCATGAAGGCTCCATTTTTCAAACAACACAGAGTTTACTATTTGATTTTTCAGTTTGAAAATAGACTTGGAGTTTGATAACATTCAGTCTGAATCCAGCACCAGTGATGGAATCAACTTGAGCAGGATTATTTTAATGACAAAGCTGAAACTGAAAAGCTGCTGCCTGAATGTTTCATGCAGTGATTTATTTAATACAATTAAAAGAATAGATTCACATTTTAAATACTGTCACGTTTGACTCAAACTGGCACCAAGCCCCATCTGCAGAGCCAGTGTCAGATGTTACAAGAACGGTGTCGTAAACAGAGGTTAAATTAACTATGATGTGGTCTAGAAGAATACATGACAGGAAAACCTGACCATACATTATGTTTACCTGTATATAATCTTTGGTTAGAAACAGTTCAGTAACAGCTTCTATGATGATTTTATTCATGTAGTAGAAAAACTTGATCAGAACCATCTTTTCATTTGACTGTCCACGACTACAAAACTCCAGTCTCACAACCATAGAACTGAATAAGTATCCACAAAGCCTCAGCATTTAGAAGTGAGGTATCTGCTATTTACTGCTGATCAGTTTGCATTTGATTTCTGGTTTTCTCTTTGCTGTCTCCATAACAAGTTAGAAGGCTACAGAGTGAGATTAGAACCCAAACTGGAGAGTAGAGCAGTGAATACAGCAGCAGTTCCCTTCATTTCATCTCTCCGTAATAAAACTGAAGCTCTGATCTCACCATTCTAGGTAGCCTGCTGTAATAAGTGTGTTAACATTCCTGAAGAAACCAGAGCAGAAAAAGCTACAACACATTTTCCTGACAAATAAACAGATAACTTTCCTTCTGACTACCTCTTATGCTGCAAGACTTGCCAGGTGTGCTCCTGACTCCACTCAGCCTAACAAGCTCACAATAATTGACCATAGATATATAGGCCTACACTTACATGCCACATGAACATGTACCAGTTGTTCACTAACTGTTCTATGCACATGATCTGCTGCTGTCTTTATTGGAATGCATCAATGAAGCATCTAACAGTCAATAACTATTAGCTATTAGTCTAAGGAGCTCGATAGCAAATCTACCAGCAGTGGGTAGGAGTCTGTGGGCAAAGCTGAAATGATTGCTGCTCTGCAGGTTTAGGCTCATTTATCAGGTTTTTTTTATAAATTGCTCTGACTGGCTGTTTACAGGTGGAGGTTTTATTGCACATATAGTACATAGCAGAGGTGTTGTCACCTCCAGGAGCTCAGTACCACACTCAGCCCAACACGGACAGAGAGGAGCAGCCACTCCTTAAACATCAAGGCCACATTTCCAGTCCACCTATCTCACTCACTGGTCTCTTCCATTGCTGTTAAAATGCTTCAGGTCCTTACAAACTGAAAACCAAGGAACTCAAGTCAGTCAAGTCGCACCTCTGTGCTCAAATCATTATTTTTACATTTGCACACTAATTTTTACTTGCATATGTGAGCCACATGTTTGCACTGTACAGCCCTGATTTGAGGATAGATTAAAATTTGAGTTCATGTAGTGTTCAAAAATTTATGAAATGCTAACATTGCCCCTTGTGTTTGCAAAGAACATAGTACTGAATGGATTATCTATTGGAAAGTCACACTGGAGCACTTGGGCATCTAAAAAAAATAGGACTAGAATATGCAATTTATACATTATTATGTATTCTGGACCACTGTCGCCCCACAGGGCAGTGGTGCAGTGGGTAGAGCAATTGTCTCCCAACTGGAAGATTGAAGGTTTGAATCTCTGTGTCTGCAGTCCACGTGTTGAAGTGTCCTTGGGCAAGACACTGAACCCCCAAGTTGCCCGTGAAGGCAGCATGTACACACGCAGTGGCCCGGGGCCCTCGGCTCCAAAAAAAATGTTGTTGTACGTGTCACAATGTTACAGTGACAATAAAATAAAGCTTCTTCTTAAGAATGTCAGTGAAGGGACTATTGTTGACATAAATTTCCATGTCCTTTGCTGTTCTTGTTCACCAGGTACAATCTAGCTTGCCATCGACTGGAGACCCTTCTGCAGAACATCGACCTGCCGCCCCTCAACAGTGCTAACAACGCCCAGTACTTCTTACGAAAACCAGACAAGGTGGTGGAGGAGGACCAGCGTGTTTTTTCAGCTTACCAGGACTGCATTCAGCTCCAGCTGCAACTCAACCTTGCTCACCATGCTGTACAGCGGCTTCGCGTGTCACTGGGTGCCAGTCGCAAATTGACCCCCACAGCCGGGCCTCTGGAGGCTCCAGAGCTGGTTCACAACTCCTCCACAGAGCAGCTGAGGACCATCATCCGCTACCTGCTGGACACACTGCTCAGCCTGCTGCACTCCAACAATGGTGAGCAGATTTTTTTTTTCTCCCCCTGGATTGACCCAGTGGAAAATGGGCAGCATTCTGTTCAGAGTTGTTGAATCGTTTCAGTTTTTCCTGTCTGTGTGTTGTCAGGCCACTCTGTGCCCTCGGTGCTCCAGAGTACCTTCCATGCCCAGGCCTGTGAGGAGCTCTTCAAACACCTTTGCATCAGTGGGACACCTAAGATCCGTCTTCATGCTGGCCTGCTGCTGGTGCAGCTCTGTGGTGGTGAGCGCTGGTGGGGCCAGTTCCTCTCAAACGTACTGCAGGAGCTTTACAACTCTGAGCAACTGCTCATCTTTCCCCAGGACAGGTAGGGGACCATTCAGTTTCATATATTTGCCAGATGTTATATGAAAATGCCCATTTGCCCAGGACTTTTAAACATGTTGATAATTATGAAAGTAACTGGAAAATGGAAATTTTTCTTTTGGTTAATGGTTATAAAGTTATAGCCATTAAGATTTGTATTCTGTCAAGACTATATTTAAATGTATTTTGGGGGATTTTTATGGTTTTATTAAGTTCGATAGTAGAAAGATGATAGGAAGTGAGGTAGTAAGATGTAGCAAAGGTCTTTGACTGGAGTTGCACCAGGGTTGATGTGTATTGTAGTCAACATCTTAACCTCTGAGGCAAGGGAGTGCCCCCTCAAGCCAAACCTTTTATATTGTTTGCAGTATGGTTGGCATTTTTTCTTCAGTGGCCATGCGGTATATTTTTACATCTTAAACTACCTCTCTGTATAGTATATATATTTTTTTATTGTCACTGGCAGAGTCCACCCTTCTCATGTGGGATTCAAACATGTGCTCCTGTACAAGACATTGACAGGAAGTGATGTGAGCATGCACTGGACTTGATTAGACTGTCTTTACTCTCCTGCATCAAAACAGCGTGGCTCGATAAATCCTCTCATCCCACAGTTAGTTTGGCTGCCCTGTAAACTGATACACCAGTCTGCTCCTGTTGCTCAAGGTGTTTTTACTGCCCCCACTAGTTCATGCAGTCGATATCTGTCTGGAACTTTAAGGCAAACAGGAGGAAATAGTGCATATGTAGGGGAAGATTGGTGAGCAGTATAGCTAAAACTCACTTGCTGATAAACCAGTAACCACAGATGTTGCCAAAAAGCCAAGTCTAAAAACCATGTATATGTTATCTAGCTTTCTTTTATAACTGTACTAAGTAAAAGTAATATTTTAAACAAGATTTTTTTTAAGGTTCTAGTTTCAGGTTTAGTGCTCATCAAAGTATGTCCAGGCAATGGAGGACAGAGCAGATAATGGCAGCATTTTGTGTCTGTCTCTCCTTTCTAGGGTGTTCATGCTGTTGTCCTGCATTGGCCAAAGATCCCTGAGTAACAGTGGTGTGTTGGAGGGCTTACTGAACCTCCTAGACAGCCTGCTGTCTCCACTGCAGCAGCCGCAAGCTGCTGCTCAGTGCAGAACTGAAGGTAAAGAAGCCATTATTGTAGCATATAGTTACAGACGACTACAACTGGTAACATTTTCTGGAGCAGATGCATATAAAGGTGTATGTCTGTGTGAATATTCAACAAATGGTTAACCTGACCAATGAAATACAAGAATGTGAGTATAGGTATGTGTTTTCCAGGTGTTTTGGACATCCCCATGATCAGCTGGGTAGTGATGCTGGTTTCTAGACTGCTGGACTATGTAGCCAGCATAGAAGATGAGGCTTCTGGTGGGAAGAAACACCTTAGCGGGAAAGACAGGGAGAGAACCTTCACAGGTAGATGAACTGCACAGTTGTCCGTACAGATTTGAGGATTTCGCTTTTCATCTGAGACCCAGTTTAAATATGTTAACCACAATTTTGTTGATTGCTGTTTTATATCAAACAGACCTCATTCTGTTTTTCTGAACATTAATTACATTTGAAAATGGTGCCATTTAAAATTTTACAAATGAACGTACCTACACTGTGAGCATTTGAAAGCAGAAACATCCCCTTTGATCGTCTGATCACTGCACCCACATCAGTGTAAGTGCTGTTGTTGGTCTAACCTTAAGGCATCCAGTGGAGCTTCATCAATAACAGCCTTCAGTCTCAGAACTCCAGCAGAACCTCTAAAGGCAGCAGCAGCCTGGACCGTCTGTACTCCCGCAAGATTCGTAAGCAGCTCGTCCATCACAAGCAGGTAAATGTGTCTGATTCCAAAACTGTTCAACCTTTAAGCTCCGACTCGCAAATGTGTTTTTAAATCATCAAATTCACTGTATGAAAATAAAAATATTCATACAAGTGTTACAAGTTAGTTTTTCTCATCGGTTTGCAGCATTAAAAATGGTTTGTCCATAGCAAATGTGTTTGCAGTGCCTCTATTTATCATTTCCTCTTTATTGTAGCAGTTAAATCTATTGAAAGCAAAACAGAAAGCTTTGGTGGAGCAGATCGAGAAGGAGAAGATCCAGAGCAACAAAGGCTCCTCCTACAAACTGCTGGTGGAACAGGCCAAGCTCAAACAAGCCACATCTAAGGTGAGCAGCTCACAGTCTGCAATGCCATTAGACAAATCTTAATGTATTACAGTGATGTTCATGCGGATGAACAGTAGGGACAGTGAGTTTCCTCACAATTAAAAAAAAAAAAAAATCAAGGTTAACTTCTTTTTTTTTTATAGATCTAAAGATGAAAGGACTGACCTGATATTGGTTAATACTGTATCTATCCAAGATGGATAGCAATATCTTTTTACCTAGATAAATATCTCATAATTCTATTTTTACACTCCTGTCCCCTTTCAGCACTTTAAAGACCTCATCCGTCTGCGGCGGACAGCCGAATGGCCTCGCTCCACATTGGACACTGAGTCCACAACAGCCAAAGAAGCCCCAGAAGTAGAACCTCTGCCTTTCACATTGTCTCATGAACGTTGCATCTCTGTGGTGCAGAAGCTGGCCCTCTTCCTCCTCTCCATGGACTTCACCTGCCATGCTGACCTGCTGCTTTTTGTCTGCAAGGTATTCATCTTGGGGCAGAGACACACCAAGCGGATATGAAAGAGCTAGCATCATCCCATCAGCTTTGTTTTGCCCAGTCTTGTTGAAAAAGTGCCACTTAAACGCACTGCACAGACTTCAGCCAACTAGCATATATGTTCTGCACCTGCAGGTGGAGGTATTTGTATTCAGTATTCAGAAAGGGAAAGAAAAAGTGCTAGACAGCGTAAATACAAGCTGTAAACAGAGCAGCGGTCAGAACAACAACAACAACGTTGCAGGAAACACTGGGAAGATGAGCCCTGACAGCCGCTCACCGCTGGCCAACCATCGGCTTGGTGTGTCATGGCCCTTACATTTGTATATAGACCTCTTAAATATGGGAATGTGTAAATACCCATAAATCATTGCATTTCTTACCTCCTCAGGTTCTTGCTAGGATAGCCAACTCCACAAGACCCACAATCCATCTGTGTGAGGTGGTGTCAGAGCAGCAGCTCGAGCGCCTGCTTCTCCTGCTTGTGGGGACGGATTTCAATCGAGGGGACATCTCCTGGGGGGGTGCCTGGGCACAATATTCCCTCACATGTATGCTACAGGACATCCTGGCAGGTGTGTTTAGTAGCACATCTGTTTGGACTGTATATACCCCGATGTGTAAGGGTGGTGTTTGATTGGCTGCCAAACTGGTCAGACTGATACAAATTGTTGAGTTTCAGTCTGACTTCAGAGCAGCATATTCGGAAACTGCTTTGCAGCTGTTTGAATTTTAGACAGAAGTTTAAAGTGGAAATTATGCTGGATGATTATTAGCACAGTGGACCAAATTATATTGTTAGAATTTTTGGACATAATGCTGCAATGATTAGTCAGTCAGTCGATTGATTGACAGAAATCTCAGTCGGCTACTGAGTAGTCTTTAATAGGCATTTTATTTTTAAGCAAAAATATCAAATCTGAGTGTTTGATATTGTTCTTTACACATATAGATGTGAATATCTCTATATGTTGGAATGCTGGTAAGTCAAAACACGTCATTTGAAGATGTCATCTTGGTCATTGGGAAATAATAGGCTTTTTAAATTGTTTTCTAGCATATAGACGGAATAATTAAGAAATAATATGCACAGTAATTGATAATGAACATAGATGTTTGTCTTATTGCACAGGAATTCTCAGTTTATTTCATGTTTCTCAGTTTAGTGCTGAAACATACTTTCATTAATCCACTACTTGATTGAGAGAAAAGTAATGTGCAACTACTATAAAACAATAGGTAGATGAATTCATAAACAGCCATCACTTCCATCCCTAACCTGTTTACCTGTGGGGTGCCCCAAGCTTCCATATTAAGGCCTTTTTTATTCCTATATATTATTGATAGGCTTGTTGATGTTCTCACTGTTGGCATGTTAGTATGTTATCATTTCACTCAAAGTGGTTTCCTGTGCCTAACTATAGCCTTATAGTGCCCCAAGGGTGGCTATGGACTCATGTTAATGTTGTATTGTCTAATTTTATGTCGGGTCTGCTCAATTTAACATGTTATCCCTTTAAACTGGCACATTTTAATGTGTATATATAACAGTCTGGCCACAGGAATTGAATTTGAAATATGATAATGGATACTAGATCAAAGAGCCCCATCTCAACTAAGTGTACATCGGTATAGAAATAACTGTGTGGAACATGTAACCCGTTTAACACATAGTGTCCAAACTGCAAGATAAACAAAGCTATGTGTAAACTCTTCTCAGGTGAACTGCTGTCTCCAGGCTCTCTGGACATCATGGATGAGGGGGCAGTGGGGGATGAAGCTGGGGCTTCATCTTCCTCGGCAGGGGCTGATTCAGACGACTCCCTCCCTCAGCCGGCACCCATCCCCCTGGTAGAGAGCATTGATGAGGCCCTGGTGCCTGATATCATCGCAGGTACCTCTGGGACCCCCTCAGTATTCCAAAGTGAGTGGGTAGCCCCGTCCGTTCTCCACACTTCCCCACAACAGCACACAATGTTGATATGAAGTCTCATTTTTATCATCACAATATAAAATTTGTGTTAAAATTTTCCCCTTTTTCATAGCTGCATGTTTACTGTTTTTCTCCACAATATTTTTTTATTGCATCAGTTCTGACCTTTGGAGAAGGAGTTCAAACATGTTGATTCAGTAGCAGTGTCATTATGGCTTTTGCATTAAATTAGCATATAGGTAACATTCCACTGGAGAAACTTAAGTCCTAATTCATAGTAGTTCTTCTTCCAACAAAACTGCCCTCACACAGACACAGTGAATTTAGTCAATGCTCTGTCTTGTGTCTGGGCTCTCCCTCAAGCACGGGAGTATTGCTTCTACTGTGCGTAAGCTGCTGGATGCCTTGAATTTTCCTCAGGATCAATAAAGTATCTATCTAGGATCCCATAGCTTGATCGGCATTAAAATGGCACAGTAATGTGCTAAAGAAGTAATTTCTTTCTTGTATGTTTTTCTACTGTGTTTTCTTGGCAATATTAAAGCTGTTTTCATTATCCAAAGGTGCTCCACCTCTGTCATCTTTGGAAAAAGATAAAGACATAGACTTTGACTTGCTACAAGACCTGATGGATGTTGATATTGATCCTTTAGATATTGATTTGGAAAAAGATCCCCTCGCTGCCAAAGTGTTTAAGGTACGTAGATTATGATATCCTTATATTCTCTTCTCTGTTTCCTTTGCTACTTCTAGCGACAAAACAAAAAACTAATTCAAGTATAAAACTGTAGGTTTCCTGAAAAAAAAAAAATGTAGGCATAATTTCACAAGGAAACTGGAGTAAAGTAGAATTTGTACAAGAAAAAATGAAGGGATAAACTGATAACTTTATAAGAGTCTTATTTTAAATTATTGTTAGGATTTTAGTTATTTATTTCTCTGTAATAAACAGATGGTAGTACAGGTAGTACAGGCCTGCTCTTTTAGATGAAGCAGGTGCTCCCATTATTACAAAGCTTCTGATATTTCAGCAGACTAGTTTTCACCTGAAATGCTGCGTCTCATAGTTTCCTTAAACTGACTTTAAGGGTTAGGATTTTAAATTTAAAATATAGTCTTTTACTTTTTAAAAATGTTGCTGGCCCTTGATTTTGTTTTTATGTTTGGCCTTGAGTTAAGAGTTTTCTTGTTTAAAGACCAAAACGTGCAAGCTAAAAGGAACTTTAACTTATTTACGTGCATAGTTGAACTAATGTAAGCTGCGTAGATTTTTAGCTGAGGCATCTGTAGGGGGACAGAAAATGAACTTCTTGAGAGTTATGTGGGCAAGGTGGAGGTATGGTAAAGTGATTTTTCTACTTTTTAAGTGTTTTTGAACTGATGTAGTGATGACATGCAGCTTAAGCAGGAACAGATTTGAATTTGAGCAACTAAATTGACATTTTGGATTTGAAAGCAAATATAAAAATAGCTCTGTCACTAGAATGACTGTAATGCTTTTTTTGTCCTCATCTTTCTCATCCCCTCCTTGTGTCCATTCTCAGCCTATAAGCAGCACCTGGTATGATTACTGGGGTGCTGATTATGGCACATATGGGTACAACCCATACATTGGAGGGGTTGGTATCCCTGTGTCCAAACCTCCAGTTGCTGCTGAAAAGCCTGGGTCACAGGGTCTGTCAGTCTCCGTGTCACAAGGTGAGCAGAGGCTCATATTTGCCCAAATTGATGTAATATTTTTATTCAAGTCTTACCTCTGTAAATAAGCTTTTTGGTGTCTTTCCATTTAACCTTTGAACTTTTGTTGCTGTTTCACAGCTCTGGATGCGCGGCTGGAAGTGGGCCTTGAGCAGCAGGCTGAACTGATGCTCAAAATGATGGCAACTCTACAGGCTGACTCCATTCTACAGGCCCTCACCTCCAGTTCATCCACAGGTGACCACACAGCACAAAATAAAGCGTGTCTATAAGTGGCCTCAACAACCTGGAGACAAAATATTGTTTCCAGTGTTGTAGTCCGTGATGGGCTTGATAATCGTAGACTGTATGTGTCTTGCCTGTAAAGATTTGTTGTGTGGTTTTCAGTGAGCCAGGCCTCCAATGGGACTGATGACTCCCTGCTGAGGGCTCTCCATGGAGGGGGTTCTCCTCCTGGAAGTGGCCTGATAATCCAGCCCTCATCCATCCCCATGCTCAGTGCCTGCTTTAACAAGCTCTTCTCCATGCTGCAGGTCCACCATGTCCAGGTCAGCGTAAGATACCTAACTGATTGCACTTCTTAGTCGAGGCATCTACTGCACCCTTTAGTCCGTGTGGATGTCATAAGTTGAATATGTGGTCTGGACTCTGACTCTGAACATGTTTGAAACCCATTCCTTGTAGTTTTATGTGCTGCGTTTGGTAGCTCTCTTCCTGGAAACAAATCTTTTCTCAAACTGAAGGTCTCTGCTGACTGTTTTCCTTCAGGCAAGAACTGGGCTTCTTGCTATAATATAATCCAGGTTGTTGGCTTAAGAAATCAAGCCACAAGTACAGTGGTGACATTGAACTTGTAAACCTGTGCAATAACACCAAACCTATATTCTAGTTTACATTCTTCTAAACAGCTTGTGCAGTGAAGTATGTCCTAGAGATCCTGCTACAAGTTGAAAATTTAGTAATTCATAAAATTTTAAATAAAAGTTAAAACCTGGAAACTTGAAGGATAAGGTCGGTCATTATCTATTTTAACAGTATTTTCAGCTCTCCCCATGCAGAGATTAATACTGACAATGATTTGCCTCTACTCGTGGTTAAACGTCTGTCAGTGTGTCAGTCCTGGATCAGCTGGCTTGTCTGTGCCACAGACCTCCATTGTTGTTCAAAAATGATTAAAACCACCAGTGAAACACACCACTGCACTAGGTGACATGTTTCTTCATTAGCAAACCCCAGACCCAAACGTGAGTAGCTAGCGGAATGTAAACAAAGCTGAGAGCTTGCAAAAATCACACTCTCTGTATGGAGATGACGGAAAATACAATTTATTTTGGAAATGATCTGAACCCCTACTCTTACTAATGGCTAGAGCCAGGTGGCTGCCTCTGTTCTGTACTGGAAACAAATTCCTTGTGTGTGTGTGTGTGTGTGTGTGTGTGTAACATACTTGGCCAAAATAAAGTGATTATCCTTTTAAAGCTTTCCATGAAAATCAGTTGGAGTAGACAATTGGACTACGTTTCACCTTCAAGTAGGCATAATTACACTGTACTGTGCTGTTGTCAGCTGCTGCAACAATAACCCTCAGCTAGTAGAAAATAGAAAGCTTCAACTTCCTTTATTCAAATTCACTTTTCACATGTTCATTAAATACTCGTTCTAACTGAAATAGGCTCTGTGTGTGTGATTACAGTGCAAGAAAAAAAAATCACAGCTGGGGGTTGACAAGAGTGGTGCTGTACATGAATTTTATTTTCCCCTCAGTTTATAGACAGAGTAATTCACATTTGCTAAGAATATCTTATCAAGTCAACTCAGGGAGATTTGATGTGGAACAGAAAACAAAGTAAATTTGAAACCCTTGTTTCTCTCCCTCAGATGGAGTCTCTGCTGCAGCTGTGGTTAACACTCAGTCTTAACACGTGCTCTGGTGGCAGTGAAGAGAGTGGCTCAGACATCTTCCTGTTTAATGCCAGCCGGGTGCCCACCATCCCGCTCAACCAAGGTCAGGACTCCTCCACACCATCTTACCTTCTGTACCTGTGATGAACTGTAGAAGCTGAGTGTGTTTCATTGCTATATATATTGTGTTTGTGTTTGTGTGTGTCTAGCTTCCATCAGCAGTTTCCTAACAGTGCTGGCCTGGTACCCCAACACCTCACTGAGAACATGGTGTTTGGTGCTGCACTGTCTCACCCTGATGACTAACATGTCAGCCTGTGGTCAGTACTCTACTTTCACTGGTTTTGCACGTGTATTATTAGATACCTGTGAGAGGTCTTCAAAAACAGTCACGGAGTCGCACTTTCAATCAGTATGTCCTGAGTGACTTGCTGGTCAGAGAGGGGACCAAATTGTGTCAGTTAATGTGAAATAAAATGTTTGATAATATAGACTACATGAGTAGAAGGTACAGATACCTTGGATATAAAGAAATATTATATAAATATATATGCATGTACTTATGAAAGTGTTGTTAACTCCACTGATAAAACATGGTCCAATAGTGACTTGTAAACAAAATTTTAACTTGAATCTACATGTGGATTGATCGTTTAGAGCTAAAGTCTTTGTCAGTTATGCTGATCTTAATGTTAGGGCTGACACGTCCATTATTATTATCTTTAGCCTAAACTGTGGCCCCAGAGTTGCATTCTGGCACATTTTAATGTGTATATATAATAACATGTTACATGTTCGTTTTTACTTATTGGTTATTTAAAAATTAGATTTTCCTGCCACAGTTCATGAATGTTTTCCATCATTCATTTCATAAATTTTGCACAGCAGTGCATCCCTGAATGCACCATCTAGGTGAGCTCATGAACAACTTGCCTAGACATGAATTGTCATAGGACAGTGTCATACAGTAATTTGTGTGTGACAGCAGTGATGTATTACCAGTGCAGTGCAAGTCTCTGCAGGATGATGTCCACTGTGGAAAAAATGCAACTGGAAGTCAAAGGCTATAAAATGAATTCAATCTCAACACCAAGAAATAGGCCCGGCAGTATGATCGTTACAATGTTTCTGTAACACAGGGGATATATAACTTTGATTTATGCATTGAACATTTTTGCCCTGGCGCTTATTTAGTGTTTAGTGAGGTATATGAAACTTGTGTTTGAACTTCCAGCAAACGGCAATGGGTTGAGCTCTCAGGAAAGCACAGCTCGGCAGATAGTGTCTGATCCCGCCCTGGTTCACATCCTGGTACGCTTCTTGTCCGGCACCAGCAATAACGGAACGAGCCAGCACACCTCACAGGTGGGACCCACCGCCACCCAGGCAATGCATGAGTTTTTGAGCCGCCTGCAGGTGCACCTGTCCTCCACCTGTCCACAGATGTTCAGTGAGTTCCTGCTCAAACTCATGCACATCCTGTCTACTGAGAGGTAGGCTGTCGCTTCTCTGGACATTTGTTTTCAGTCAGTTTTGTGTGCGTCTTGCAAACATAATCAGTAATTTTGGTAAGAACCACAGCAAGTGGAACTGTAATGCGGAACTAATGTCTTGGGGAACTAATGGTCCTTCTTGAACCTGCAGGGGTCCATTCCAGTCAGGTCAGGGTCCACTCGATGCCCAGGTGAAACTGCTGGAGTTTACTCTAGAGCAAAACTTCGAAGTGGTGTCAGTGGCAACTATCTCCGCCGTCATTGAGTCAATCACATTCTTGGTTCACCACTACATCACCTGCTCTGATAAGGTGGTTTCCCGCAGCGGCTCAGACAGTTCTGTTGGTGCCCGGGCTTGTTTTGGTGGTCTATTTGCCAACATCATCCGTCCAGGAGATGCAAAGGCTGTCTGTGGAGAGACTACCCGTGACCAACTGATGTTTGACCTCCTCAAGCTGGTAAATGTGCTGGTGCAGCTGCCTCTGTCTGGGGACAGAGAGTTCAGTGGGCGGCTGCCACTGGCCGGGAGCGGAGCAGCTGATAGCAGTGTGTCAGACGAGGAGAAGGTCTGTGGCAACAAAGAAAGTGTGACTGGTGGATCTGCATCCAGTCAGGGTCCTCCAGCTGGTGTGGCTGACCTGGTGCTAGCCAATCAGCAGATAATGAGCCAGATATTGTCAGCACTGGGCCAATGCAACAGCAGTGCCATGGCCATGATCATAGGTAAGACAAGCCCACAGAATTATTGCCTGACTCTGCAGGTCCTGTCAGCTCTAACATCTTTCAGATCATTGTTTTGGTTTTACTGCTTGTGGTTTATTCTCACCACTCACAACAACATGGTGTCCAGTAGCATGCTGCCATGTTTATTAGTCAGTAAACCTATTGTACACTACTTGCCCAGTACCAAACAGCCAATGTTTTGTTTGTAAGATGAAGAATTGTGTTATTTCTTCTTTCAAAAGTGACATCCTCTCTGTCCAACAGAGTGTACTTAATTTTAAAGACTACACTCTGTTTAGATTGATGCCCCAGGATTTTACTGGTACTTGGCTGAGCTGATAAATAATGAAATTTCATTGGGGTGAACTGATCCCTTGTGGAACAGAGGGAAAAAAAAGCAAATATAACTATTTGAATTAAATACCTCCTACTGCCAGCTGACTGTCCTCCCTGTTCCTCAGGAGCCAGTGGTCTCCATCTGACCAAACATGAGAACTTCCATGGTGGGCTGGATGCCATCTCAGTGGGTGATGGTCTCTTCACTATCCTCACCACCCTCAGCAAAAGGGCAACATCGGTCCAGGTTATGTTACAGCCCATTCTCACATACATGGCATGTGGTTACATGGGCAGACAGGTGAGTATCAAATAGTGGTATATGTGCTTTGATACAGTATATGATATTAAAATAGCTCCTGAACAAAGCCAACAAAAAGTATAATCAAACCAAATCTTATTTTTATTTTATTGTGAATTTTGTAGGGGTCTCTTTCCACCTGTCAGCTATCAGAGCCTCTTTTGTGGTTCATCCTGCGTGTGTTGGATACCAGTGAGGCTCTCAAAGCCTTCCATGATATGGGTAGGTATGGGTATGGTGTGGCTAAAGCAAAGCAATCTAATGGAAAACTAATGGAAAAATCCCGTTACTCCATTTCACAGCAGTTTAACTCACTGAACATGCAGGTACACACATAACCATGGATTGTGCAGTAGCAGTTTGTAGAAAACTTGATTTTTATAATAAAGCCAAAACTTTTTTTTTTGTCCCTAACCAGGTGGTGTACAGTTAATCTGTAACAACATGGTGACCAGCACCCGGGCCATTGTGAACACAGCACGAAGCATGGTGTCCACAATCATGAAGTTCTTGGATTCAGGTCCTGGAAAGGCAGCGGATGGTAACCTCAAAGCCCGAGTGATGACTTCAGAACCAGACAATGCAGAGGGACTCCATAACTTTGCCCCTTTAGGTGCTTTCACTTACTTTCAACTTGATATGTTTCATCCTGTGGAACAATATCTTTACAACAAAAAAGGTGCAACCTGACATTGACTCTAATTATAGATGATGTGTTTGTCCCTTTATAGGCACCATTACATCCAGTAGCCCCACAGCGCAGCCAGCAGAGGTCCTTCTCCAGGCCACGCCCCCCCCCCGCCGAGCCCGCTCAGCAGCCTGGTCCTACATCTTCCTGCCAGAGGAGGCCTGGTGTGACCTCACCATCCACCTTCCAGCTGCTGTACTGCTGAAGGAGCTCCACATCCAGCCACATCTCGCTTCTCTAGCCAGTGAGTAAAATCCAATTTATTAATGGGAAAAATATCTATATATATATATTAGGGCTGTCAAAGTTATTGTAATAATAACCAGCTGCAGCAAATTCCGTTTAACTGCACACATTTTTTTGACATGTCATTAAGACACACACATTCTGTGATCATGAGCCTCGTCCTGCCCCATAGTTTAGAAAATCAGGAGGCAGTGCAGCAGAAATAGATAAAGAAAAGGGTCTTTTGAATGGCAGGTTCAGCTTCAAAGCACTGCCAGATGGTTCTCTCAACAAGACCAAACTTATTTGCATTTACTGTCGATGTGAATCGAGTTACCACAGGAGTATGTCGACTCTCAGATACCACTTGCTTGATTTTGTGTAGTTTGTGTCTTTATGTTCTTATGTTGTTTTATTTCTCTATTGACATTATTTATTCTGGTTTTTACATTGCCCTTGTAAAGTACTTTGGTTGACCAGACGTTGCTTTTAAAGTGCTATATAAATAAATTTTGATTGATTGATTGATTGATGTTTTGCTGTGTGTTCTTCCTTTACCCCCCCCCAGCCTGCCCATCCTCAGTCTCAGTGGAGATAAGCGCCGATGGGGTCAACATGTTGCCGCTCTCCACCCCAGTCATCACAAGCGGCCTGACTTACATAAAGATCCAGCTTGTGAAAGCAGAGGTTGCCTCGGCTGTTTGCCTGAGGCTGCACCGGCCTCGTGACGCAAGCACCCTGGGTCTGTCTCAGATCAAACTTTTGGGTCTGACAGCATTTGGTAACACCTCCTCTGCAACTGTCAACAACCCCTTTCTGCCATCTGAGGACCAAGTTTCTAAAACCAGGTACCATAAACAGAGCCTGGAATGAGAGTTTGTGCATTTGTGTTGATATGGCTGTAACTTTTTAATTCTTCTGGCACAGCATTGGGTGGCTGCGTCTACTCCACCATTGCCTAACCCATGTCAGTGACCTGGAGGCCATGATGGCCAGTGCTGCGGCACCCACTGCCAACCTGCTGCAGACATGTGCGGCACTGCTCATGTCACCTTATTGTGGCATGCACTCACCCAACATTGAAACAGTGCTAGTGAAGATTGGCCTGCAGTCAACTCGCATTGGACTCAAACTCATCGACATTCTGCTGAGGAACTGTGCCGCCTCTGGCACTGACCCTGCCAGTGAGTCACATACAGCTACATTTCTGTTGAATGTTAATAGGCAACAGATCTTAGACTACATTAAACAGCATCCAGAAGTCCTAAAATATCCAGTTTTATGGCTGTAAGAAGTCCTTAGAAGTCCCATAAGTCCTTAGAAAATACTTTAATGAAGACTGTATTTCCAAATAACTTGTAATTGTGGTTATTAGTAAACAAGAAATTACTAAGAGCAGTTTTGCTACCTGAAAGAGCAACATCCTTGCAGAACCAGGGTGCAGTGCACAGGCCTAAAAGTGAGAGGTGAACCTGTCTCCTACCTGTGTCTTAAAGACCTGTCCAGGAAAAGAGGATCTGTGTTTTTGCTTTATCTGATGATTATCTGCTTATTTGCTAGAAGTTTTGGTTTTCTGGTCAGATGATGTATTGCATAAAAGTTGCATAAAAAGACAAAAGTTGGGTTTAGCTTTAATGGAAAAGAAAACGCTGTGGCGTAGAGCATCTCTTTCTGAACATGATGTGATGGGCTGGGTGGAGAGCCCGTCTTTGCACGTTGTACAGTAAATTGGTCAAAAATAATGTTAAAGAAGGGTGTTGATGGTAGTTCACTGCAGATGAAAACTGATCTTGAAAAATCTATAATAGACCATACAGCATGAAAGCCATCCTTATGTTGGTCCTCTGTCTTTGTAGATCTGAACAGCCCTCTACTGTTTGGGCGTCTAAATGGCCTCTCCTCGGACTCCACCATTGACATTCTGTACCAGCTGGGCACCACACAGGACTCTGGAACGAAAGACAGGTATTTCACCAAATAATTTTTACTGAGACTGGGTCTTTCCTACAGCTTCCCTTGGTAAGAATAGCAGCCGGTGATAAATGGTGTTCTGCCAAGGTGATAACCCAGAAGGAGTCATAAGCTGATAGTAAAAAGTGTCCTTACACTTTCCTTGACATCTGTTGCTGTCATATGGTTGTGCTTGTTGCATATAACTTTTACTCTGACACAGCTCGCACCGAGTGAGTGCAGAGATACTGCAGTGTTTCCCAAACCTTCTAATGAGTTGTTTATCAAAGCTTGCTCTGAATTTTAACCCTCCAGGATCCAGGCTCTCCTTCAGTGGGTTCATGACTCTTCACGGGTAGCAGCCCACAAGATGAGCGGCCCAATAGCATACACCAGGGCCTGCGCTGCCTCGTCGTCGGCTTCTTCAAGGGAGTATGGCCTCCTCATGCCTTCCCCCTCCCACCTCCACTGTGTGGCGTCCATCCTGTGGCACAGCTACGAGCTGCCTGTTGATTATGACCTTCCTGCGCTGCTCAACAGAGAGCTCTTTGAGTCAGTCAGAATCTTTTCCCACCCTGAGATTATACATATGTACATATAGACACATTTAGTTAGCATGTGCTCACCCTTGTGTCAGTAAAAATATTACAGTATTGCACTATACAGTAGTACAAAATTATTATTAACTACAACGACATGCAAAGGAATGAAAAGGGTCTTTTTTTATTGCAAGTGACTGTGCCAGTTGAGTTTCAGTAAAAACATGGAATATTATGACTTTGTATTTTATCAGCTTAGAAATATTGTGTTTGTGACTGGTGAAGATCAGGTCACATTTCATGACCAGTTTATGCAGATAACCAGAAATTGCTAACAGTGCCACGACTTTATCTTATGACTTAGTACAGGGTGGGTGAAAAGTAACTAGGCATTAAAAATTGGCTATAGAACTTGTAGTATCACTGGAGTCATGATGAAAACGGTCTTTAAAAAGATAGATTTCATATGAATTTGATATTTGAATGATTGAATTTGATTAATTGATTCATCTTCAGTCATTGAATTTGATTCATATCCTATTTACTATTGTCTATTTAGAGGCTGTTTTCATCATGACTCCAGTGATACTACAAGTTCTATAGCCAATTTTTAATGCCTAGTTACTTTTTACCCACCCTGTATAACCTTACATTAACAGCCTGTCACTTTTGCATTGATGTAAAACCAGAATTTGTTGTACTTGTTACAGGTAGAGTGCTTTTAAACTATTTTTTATTCAAGCTGAACGATTGATTATTTTCATTACAGATTAATCTTCAGATTATTTTCTTCATTAATTGATTGACTGGTTTGTAAAACTTCTGATAGCAGTGAGAAATCTCGTCACAATTCTCTGATTTACTGTAGGTGTGCAGCGGTGCAGCCAGACTGATCCTGTCTGTACATTTCACTTACACACACACACACACACACACCCCTAGTTGAGCTGGGAAAGTTTGTGTGTATGTTTTGGGGGTCAGATCAGGATAAGTGTGAATGTCCTTTTGTGACTCAGAGATTAGCGACAATGTGGAAAGTTATTTTGATAGCGCATTATATGACCAATGTTTATACGCTTGCACGTTTTATTGATTAGGATTAAAGTAATGAACATGGCACATATTTTCACCTCTATTCTTCTGGTATTCTCGAAGGTGTTTGTTTTTGAGGGAAAAAAAAGAGGTATTCACCAGAAGAAGACATCAGTCATCCTCTGGGCATGATAGATATCTTTATAAAACTGTCTGGACCAACCGCACAAACTTGCCAGCCTCACTGCAAGTTTGTGAACATAGACACCCACATGTGTAAGAATCTGGATAGGGAATCTTTTGTTGAGGGAAATGAGATTTGCTTAATTGTGAGATGACTAGGTTATACCAAGATTTTAACCCTACATATTTAACTCTATTTATGAGACACCGCTGTTTTAAATAAATATCACTTTTTGAATAGTTAGTGTCATCAGTATTCATGCAAATCGCATAAATCGAAGTCTGGGCAAGCTTAAATTTATTTCCTTTATGTCTTAATATGCATTCAGTATATCAGCTCTGATAATGCAACCCTTTAAAAACTAACAGCATGGATCACTGATTACTGATTCTGTTCCCTGTCCTTCCTTCCAGGATGCTGTATAACTGGTCCATGTCATTGCCTTGCAACATTGTGTTGAAGAAGGCTGTAGACAGTCTCCTGTGCTCCATGTGTCACATTCACCCCAGCTACTTCTGCCTGCTTATGTCTTGGATGGGGATTGTCTCAGTGCCCAACCCCAGCCACTCTCAAGGCCAGCACCACCGCCTCGCCATGACTGACGACAGCAAAAAGCAGCATGATGCCAATGCCAACACTGCAGGACTTTCAGACAGTTTTAAGCATATGAGACCTCCAGTTAATCTGTCTGAGTCCCAGTTGACCACATTGGCAGCTGCCTCTCAGTCTCCAGGAGCCACAGAGCAGCTGCTGGACTCAGGCCTACCTTCTCTGTTGGTTCGCAGCTTGGCCCAGTTCTGTGTTGGCCTCTTGGCCAGCGCTGACCTCCCTCTGCCTGCTGTTCAGGCTGAGAGACGACACTACCATCACCACTACCACTCATGCTCCTCATCCTCACAGGGTAGGCCGCATCTGGCTGCAGAGCTGGCTGCTCCAGTGCTGCGTTTCCTCACAGAAGTAGGCAACAGTCACACCATGAAAGACTGGTTAGGAGGACCAGAGGTCAACCCATTGTGGACAGCATTGCTGTTCTTGCTGTGCCACTCCAGTGCTACTGCTAGTGCTGGAGCCAGTGCAGGCGGTCAGGCTCTGAACGCTGGATCTGCAGCAGGTGCCCCTCCACCACAGCCTCAGCCTTCGGGGTCACGCTTTTCTCTGGCATCTTCTGGACAAGCAGGAGGGCTCACCACCCAGCAGAGGACAGCTCTGGAAAACGCCACTGTGGCCTTCTTTCTTCAGTGTATCTCATGTCACCCCAACAACCAGCGGCTCATGGCACAGGTTTCCTTGTACATTCTGATCCTTTTCATTTTCACCAGGAATTTTTTAACCCAGCAGAGCTTTTGACCGACTGACTTAAATGCTGTAATTTGTAAATATGGAAGATAATTTCTCAAAGATGTAGGAACCCTGCAAAGACCTTACTGATACCAGTGACAGCATTTTTTCATTTTGATATATTCACTTATCTGTGTTGGCAGGTTCTCTGTGAGCTCTTCCAGTCTGCACCCCAGCGAGCCAACGTGCCGATCTCTGGAAACATCTCAGGCTTCATTCGAAGGCTTTTCCTGCAGCTCATGCTAGAGGATGAAAAGGTCACAGTCTTCCTACAGTCTCCCTGTCCGGTGCGTAACTTTCTCCACTGTTGAATATCTGCACCCTCTTCTTTCCAGATAAGAGAAGAAATATCTGTTATTAAATTCTATGTACAGCTTTTGAGACCAGCTCGCATGGCTGTGGATAATCCCACTGTATCAAAACTGCATTGCAGATAGTTGATAGCTTTGAAATCCCCAGTCCCCCACACCTTTCTAATGTTGAGTTTGGGGCGGTCTGTGACTGAGCATTTGTGTATATTTCTGAAACCATCAGAACTTGATTGGCCGACTGTGCAGTGGTGAGAATGTTTACTGGTTTTGAGCTACTCCTTAGCTCCCCCTTTTTTAATTGTCATAGTCAAATAACACTGCTTCTGTTACAAACCCTTTTGCCCATAAGTGCGGCCTAATCAGGTTGCTTTATGCTCAGGTTAACAAGGCATGTTATTTTGTGTAAATACACTACAGAAAGTTTTCACACCCTTTCAAGTTTTCCACATTTTGTTCTGTTTCAGAGTCCTCTTAAAATGGATTCAATTCAGTTTTTTTTCTTAATCAATCTACACACAATACTCCACAGTGATAGTTATAGTAGGTTTTTGGTGTCTCTATACTTTTGTCCTCCCCAGCTACATAATGAGAGGGTCAGAATATCAGGAACACCCCTGAATAGAATGTAGTCCAGTACAACACCACCTTTAAATATGACCTCAATAATAAAAATATAATTGAATTTATACCTTTATGTCAATTTCACCAAAAGCCTAAATGTGTTGAACACACATGTTAAGGCAGAAGTATTGCATTAAATTTCATATAGTTGTATGGGTGTACCTAATAAAGTGGCTGGTGAGTGTAGACAGATAATAGATCGTAACATACATGACTGCTCTAGCAATTTTTATAATAGAACTTGTCCCCATCATGTCATTATAACAGTACAAAATGATGGTATAGCATCAAACAGGAGTGATTGATGTAGGATTCGATTATGACCACAAGGGGACGGTGCAGCAAAATGAAACAGAGGCCCTCTCTACTATTACAGTGATCCCCACAGACCAGTACATACTGTACCTGGTATAACATATCCTCATTGAAAGCGTATTGCTCCATATTTTAGCCAGATCAGTTACTGGTTGTCAGAAAGGCTGTTTTAGGATTGCATGTGTGCAGGTGTGTCAGGAGTTGGGTGAAGAGAAATTGATTTTAATTACCCACTGCATGCCATTATTACATCTTGCCTGTCTCATTGTTGTCAGTGTGATAGGCCATTTTGTATCGTTTCCCAACAGCAACTAGAAGGCAAGGTCATTTAGTCAATCCAGACAAGGTATTACAGTGAAATTTGACATCTTCTATATGTATTTATTGTTCTCAGAGGACAAGTCCTTTTAATTTGATAACCCCTCTTCCAGCACCACCATGAGGTCAGATTTTTCACTTGTACACAAGAAATATTATTAATCTTCCCCCAATAACAAACTCTGAAAATATTAGACTCCAGAGCTAAACTCTCACCTGTGTATAAACATGATTAAAAATCCAGTTACCCAGCAAATGTAGTTTACTTTGTTCATGCTTAAAATTGCATGATCTAGATAACTGACAAACTTACAATACTCATATTCACATATTCAGGTACTGCGAGCAGTAGGGGACAAACAGTCTCAGTAGCTTCTGAGTCACTTCTTAGGATATGTACTTGCACAGATTTCTCTGAAACCTTACAAAAACAACCAGGTAGTGTATCGGCTTGAAAAAAAAGGTCATTGTTGGCCCCACATATTAGTACTCATTACATTTTATCTTCATGCCTCTTTGCTGGCGGTAGCCATGGGCGGAGGCATTATGATTTTTGGGTTGTCCGTCCATAAGTCCTTCCATCCATCTGGCCCATTCTTGTGAACACGATATGTGTGGTACGTCTTGCAAGACTCTTCTGATTTGGCACACATGTTCACTTGGACTGGAGGATGAACAGATTCTGATTGTGATTTTGGTGGTCAAATGTCAAGGTCAATGACCTCACATCTGTCCCATTCCGGTGAATTTGACTGGTTGGTGGAGGCATACAACCGCAAAGCAGTGATTCTAGTTTAGTTTAATTTCCTGGAATATAGCTGATTGTAACATTTTCCAGCATGGTAAAACAAAAGTATTTTGTCTTTTTTCTTCTGTTTTCAGTTATACAAAGGCCGCATTAATGCCACCAGCCACATGATACAGCATCCCATGTACGGAGCAGGCCACAAGTACCGCACTCTCCATCTTCCCATCTCCACCACTCTAGCTGAAGTCCTGGACCGAGTGTCTGGTATGTTGCAGTAAAGAAAACTTAAACCTTTTTCTACAACACTGCTGTTTGCACCATGTACCAGACTTCAAAACACAAAACAGCTAACCCCCTTGGATTAGGGCAATGTCATGTGTACACGTAAATATACAATATTTATATAAGGTGTAAGCATGTTGGTGCCTTTAGCTGGTCACTGAAAAGTTGATTAGAACGAGGCTGCTGAACTGAATAAGCTAGTGAGGTGCTGCTCAAAGACATTGTTTAACAAGTTTTATTAGCGGGTGTTCAAATTGATCTGGTAAAAATGCAGCGCCCTGCTGCGTTTTAATGCAAGGGGCTGTGTTGGTTGGGGCATGAGGGAATAAGGGGGGGTGTTGTAGTGGCACACCAGGTCAAGGTCAAAGTGTTTATATGTCATATGCACAGTTAGGAAACATGTTTCCCTGTACAATGAAATTCTTACTTTGCCGTCCACATGAATGCCACAAAATACAAATGAAATATAAAGTAGATAAATAAGTAACACAAAATCTAAGGCACTTTAAGCAGCAAATGCAG